AAGGCCTGTATTTATCGACAGTTATTTTTACAGTAGGGTGAAATTCCTTTGTTTTCCCAGTTAGGAAGCTGAGGTCAGCAGCACACTGTAAACAATGTAAAACAGGGAAATGCTGAACAAGCACATGTGGGCCTATCTTTAAGTCATACATCAAAATCATCATTCATTTTAAAGCTGAAGGTGACTTTTTCCTTCAAGCTATCGGTCTTGTAGTTTGCATGTCCTCTGTATCTGTCAACCTCTCCGTGTTTTTTTTAAGGGCCTCTCAAGCCCAGTGAGATCTTGAGGTGTTGAGTTTCAACGTTATCGTCATGCTGTGTGATTTATGATGGAAACAGAGCATAGGGCTGGTTTCTGTGTCCTTTGTGAATTTCTCTGAATGTTACACTACTACTACCAAGTATCGCAGCCTTCTACTTACACATCATGAATCTGAATAGGTGTTTAAAGCCCATAAACACGATCAGGACTATCAGGTCTTTTCTTACATCCATTTACAACTGGTTAATTACATGATTTGTACATTTAGTGTAGCAATGGAACTGACTTTCAAAAAGTTAATTCTGTTCCCGTTTTCAGTGGGAGAAACGTTTCGTCGCTCATCCAACTGACTTCTTCAGTCTCCATTGACTGCAGGTTTCCCCAACCTTACAGCACATTTGCACAATGACTAAAACTAGCACCACTGATGAACAATGGGCCACACGGTCAGTTTCTTGATCATTAATATGCAATTTGTCATGACCATTGATCAATGGCCGTAAGTAGCATTCACAGAGAGTGGGGGAATGGCTGCAATCACGGCATTGTAAGATGGTGACAGATGTACCCTTAGTCCCCCTCCTCGATTCAGAGATGGTCTTTCCCTTTTCACGTAAATGGCCTCATTGACTCCTCGCTCAAACCAGAGTTCCTCCCTGTCCAGGATGTGTACATCCTCATCATTGAAAGAGTGGCCACTCGCCTATAAGTATGAATAGACTGCAGAGTCCTGGCATGATGACTTAGCTCTTCTGTGTTGTGCCATCCACTTAGCCAGAGGTTAAGGAGGAAACACTTACAGACATTTTTTCTGGCAAGTCCAAAGGCCCAAAGATCCATGTAACTGTGATATATAACAAATCAAGTCATTTTATGCTTAGAGTACATTTAAAGATGTCTGTCTTTATTAGTGAAAAACACTGTTGTAAAGCAAAAATACCCTGTAAATACTATCATTACTGTAGATAACTATGTATTTTTACTTTATATTACATGTAGTTAAACCTATGGGTTCATTTATAGAAGGAAAACAATAAAGTTGTTATTAGTTAACCTTCAGTTAAAGTTAGTAGTGTTTAGATGGCAACAACTAAAAAACAATAAAGCAAGCATAACACTGGATGACATGATAAATAGAGATGCCCTTGTTGACCAGCCAGGGACCAGAATCAACTGATTGCCAGTGTTTTCGGCCTTGACCAGTGACTGAAAGATCAGCTAGCAAGCCTGTGCACGACAAGCACAGGAACACAGGCAGACAGTCCTCAGTGTGAGTCCTCACTCAACACAGATTCTCAAATGTTTTTTGAATGTTTAGAACAGCAACCCAAATCAAACACTTAAATTACCTTCACACAGCAGAAAACAAACAGCAAACAGCAAAACAGAAACTAACAAAGGCAGAGTAGCTAAAGCTAAAGCTATCAAGAGCTCAGAGCCAGCTACAAGCTAGCAGCCTCAATATAAGCAAAGAGTCAAAGAAGTTGCAAGGAAAATTCTGGAGATTCGTGAAACAAAGAAAAGGGTCCGTGTCCTGTTATCTGGTGAAGCTATAAACACACAGGAAAATATGTCAGGTAAAACTTGTAAACTAGCACATAATGACAAAACAAGCAAATCTGGTCTCAGTTTCAGAACTGCGAAACCCAGACCATAGGTCTAAGGTACTCCTTAAGATTAAGCCCAATCTGAATATGCTTGAGAGTTTAGTTTTTAGTCGACTTTTGAAAGTCTTTAGTGGAAAAAGATCCCCATAGCCCTTTTAGGGACGTTTAAAGAAGCAAAAATGTTTTTATAATTAATCCTATACTATTGCCAATATTACTATACTAGGGCAGACACGCTCATGTTTGCCAGTGAAGAGTCAAGCTGTAGTATTTGAGCCAAATGCAATCATGATAATTTGGGACTTCCAGCATATAAAAGATTTTAGCACAGCAGTGGATCTATTAGAAGTATAGGTGACCTTTCCAAAGGTTATTAAAAGAAAATAAGTGTTTAAGATTAGCTAAAAGCATTACAAGAAAAAAAATGAATCAAATCACAAAGGCTGAGATTTACAATATGGTACCAAGGAAGGTTTTTTCTAAATAAGTAACTGTTACTCAACAATTAAATTACTAAAACAGTTGCTCTTTCATTTCCTGTGATTGACTAATCAAGTTACTGCTGCAGGTCTACAGTGACAGTTATTCTTTTCTTTTTCTTCACACATACACAGCTCAACTTGAATCAGTACAATGCGCATGAATCTAATCAATAGCTTTCATGTAAATGTCAGGCAATTATGCAGAGCTGCAGCACCTGGATAAACTGCATATGGGTGCTAACACCTCTTTCGCCCCAAGCCTGCATGTTAATTAAGCTGAACATCTGGCGAGAGGAAAAACACACTGTCGGATTGAACCGACGGGATGCTGCCTTGATCCAAAGTGCTGAATGTTTTGGAAGGTGAACTTCAGTTAAATTTTTGATGCGCTTATTTCCCTGTGCCAAGATCTACTGCAGTCCAAAAAAAAATAAAAAAAACAGGGATTAGGAGCCAATCTTTTGCTGATGGTAGGAAATCTCTGGCTAAGAAAAGACAGCGGATGCTGAAATGTGCTGTAAGGTCAAGTTCCTACTTTTAACTGAATACATCATACTGATATCACAGAGGAGGGCATTGGGATTACATGACATGCAATGAAGTTATTAGTTTGTTTTTATTTTTACGTCTGATGTGGCAAACCGTACTAAACTGAGACTAATGTGCCCTGGAATGGACTGATTGTGATAAAGAAACAAAAATAAATGGAGACTTCCACCGAGCATAAATGCCCTTGTGCTCTTTGTTTGGGGAACCAGTCGATTGAGTTTTTGTGTCCCAGCATGGCAGAGTTTGGTCAACAGACAGACAACCAGACAAAGCAATTTATACCAGCTGTTCACAGATAAAAAGAACAACAATACATCAAACAGCAAGAACAAAAGACGACTCCACAACAGAGCAAAGTGTTATTGACTCACTGGTATCTCGGCTTTATTATCGCTCTCTAGTTCTGCCAGCACTAGCTAGATTTTGATAATTCTACTGTATGATGATAAAAGATTAAAGCAACATTTAAAAGCGGCATGTTTTATTTCTCTTTTCACATATTTGTAAGGTATACACCTTTCCTTTCCTTCCACCTAGTCATGCACACTGATCCATGCTGTACGGTAAGCAGGAGCAGTAGCCAGCCGCTGCCTGCCTGTCCCATCAAACATGCATAAGAAACAGATGTATCTTTGATGTAGGTTTGTTCATGTTGCCCCCGTGTGCATGAGTGTGTGAATGAGTGTGTGTGCTTGTATGTTTAGTGTCTCTTTTTTTTCTTCTTTTTTTTAAATGTGCTTCCAGGCCCTACGGGCACAAGCTAGGCTGAGGAGATGCGGCTGCATGCCCTGACACACAAGCAGAGACGGAAGGTTGCCACAGATCCAAGGGAGGATAAATGATCGATGCAGCCATGCATTATCTTTGAAAGCATGATTCCTATTGAGGAAAGGAAGTATGCAACTGTAATAGCTCCTGTTATTAAAACTACAGCATTATGCATTCATTCCAGGTTTTGTTCAGCCTGCTTCAGATTAGCACAAGTGGTGCTCTACTGTACTATATTTTAAAGGCTTAACCATGAATATGCTTGCCTTTTGCACTGACAGTCAAGGAAGCTTTGAGAACAGGCACCAATAAATTCATACCTTCATATATCCATAAAGAGAGAACTATTGTGGAATATAATTATTATTTTAAAGGTATATTTAGGGATCCTAGTACTCACAGCTTGGACTGTATTCAGAGGTTACTAATGTTAGAGTATTTCGCTGGCACTGCACTTAATGACAAGCATGGCACCGGTTCACGAGACACTCATCTTTAAGCACCTGGAATAGTGAAAACTTCCCTTGCACAAGACTGTAAACAAGCATAACCATGAGTCATCTGAGCGAAAAGCTTTCCTATCCTGCATGTTGCCAGCTTCATTCCAGCCAGTAGGTCCCAATTTGCTCCGTCTGGTGTGTCTGCTGTATGACTGAACTGTAGTTACCCTCCACCCACCTTTAAAACCCCCCGCCCGTAAGTTGATGACCACCTAATGTTACCCAGTCCTCAGTTTCCTACCATCTACACACAAATGCAAACATACCGTAGTGTAACACATGTATTTATTTTGTCATTCACACAGCTACTACTCCCATTCTCTCCCTCTCTCTCTCTCTCTCGCACATACACACGCACACGCACACACACACACACACACATCTTTTTCCTTTTCCCCTAAAACAATTGTGTGCTGCTCACTCTCTATTGTAGAAGCCAGTCATTTCCACATGTGTGCTGACCATAAAGCAGCAAAGGGCCGACTAAAAGCATCCTTTTCCTGACTGGCAGGGTCACAATCTGCCTCATATAAACACAGGACACACCTTAGCCCAACAGATTCCACATATCCTTCTGACCTCGTTACCTCCCCCGAAGTGCTCCTCTTTCCACTGACACAGGATACTAATAAATAAATGTTGACAAAGCCGCTTTTTTTTTTGGTTTTGTTTGTTTGTTTTTTATATCTTTCTCGTTGACGGGTAAAAGACAAAAAAAGAACACTCTTTGGGGTTTTTTAATTAAAAAAAAAAGTTTAAAAGCAAAGCTAAGCCGGGGTCCTTTTGTGTCTCAACGTGCCTCGCGCAGGGTTTCCCTAGCATTGTCATGACAACTGTGTGTACGCACCGACACTGGCCTTTGAAAACAATACACCCACAAAAAGTTGACTGAAGTGGGCCAGCTAAGATTTTTTAAATGAAAAAAATCGTCCAGAAAACAGAGTGAAGCAGAGATATTAAGCGGAAAGGAAATGAATAGCGAACAAGTGCACAAGTGGGGACAAAAAGTGTAAGATGCAGTCATTCCCATACCTTCTTGTCGAAGAAGTATTTGTTTCCTTTTCAACTATTCCCGGGTGCCGTTCTTGTTAGCTAGAGTCAAGCTACTACTTAGCTTTTGTCACTGTGTTCCAAACAATTACTTTGTGACACCGGTAATGTGTAGCGAGCCGTAGCAGCACGAGAAACAACTCCACCAAGCTGTAACTTTTCTCCGCCCCGGACTGCCTGCTTCTGTCTATCGGGGGGGGGATGCTTCGCTCCGCCTAGCTCAACCCTGAAGATAAATCACTGTGATCCACCGGATTTCAACTTTGTGTCTCCTTGCTGGTGGCAACATGTCTCTCCCCCCCGTAAAATTACACAGTATGCTATTTATAATTAGCGAGTTTCTTTAATCCCATTATATTTACCGCTTTTTTAGTGCAAAATCGAAGCCACTATTTGTGCCCCGTCTCCAGGCCAGAGTCAATTGTGATGATTGATTTCGGACAGGACAATTATATTAATAAGAGTTTAATTGGTTTTAGACTTTGCCCCGCTTCTTCATTAGCGAATCGGCTTAATCCTTTGAACTTTCCTTGTTCAAACAACCCGAGTGACACAGACATTAAAAGAGGTAATCCAGACTCACTCAACTGAATGCTTCACATGCTACCCTTTACTCCAAAGACATTTACATCTCTCCCCTGTTTTAAAGGGACAGCAGACTAAGATGGAGTGGAAGGGCCACAGCAACACTGGCACAGTGTGGTGATAAGAGGACGCTGAAGAGAATGCAGAAAACTGAAGCTTGTCAGATTGAAAAAAAAAAGCACATTAACTTGAGAGTTGGCTGGATTTGTAAAAAATAAAATAGCTGGCAATGGACAGATGCAAGATATACACGGTTACACCCAGTATCAACAACAAAGAGGATGTACAGTGGGGCAAAAAAGTATTTAGTCAGCCACCGATTGTGCAAGTTCCCCCACCTAAAATGATGACAGAGGTCAGTAATTTGCACCAGAGGTACACTTCAACTGTGAGACAGAATGTGAAAAAAAAATTCCTCATGAATGAAGGAGGTTTTGGCTCAAAATCTCACGATACATGGCCCCATTCATTCTGTCCTTAACACGGATCAGTCGTCCTGTCCCCTTGGCAGAAAAACAGCTCCCATAGCATGATGTTTCCACCCCCATGCTTCACAGTAGGTATGGTGTTCTTGGGATGCAACTCAGTATTCTTCTTCCTCCAAACACGACGAGTTGAGTTTATACCAAAAAGTTCTACTTTGGTTTCATCTGACCACATGACATTCTCCCAATCCTCTGCTGTATCATCCATGTGCTCTCTGGCAAACTTCAGACGGGCCTGGACATGCACTGGCTTCAGCAGCGGAACACGTCTGGCACTGCGGGATTTGATTCCCTGCCGTTGTAGTGTGTTACTGATGGTGACCTTTGTTACTTTGGTCCCAGCTCTCTGCAGGTCATTCACCAGGTCCCCCCGTGTGGTTCTGGGATCTTTGCTCACCGTTCTCATGATCATTTTGACCCCACGGGATGAGATCTTGCGTGGAGCCCCAGATCGAGGGAGATTATCAGTGGTCTTGTATGTCTTCCATTTTCTGATGATTGCTCCCACAGTTGATTTTTTCACACCAAGCTGCTTGCCTATTGTAGATTCACTCTTCCCAGTCTGGTGCAGGTCTACAATACTTTTCCTGGTGTCCTTCGAAAGCTCTTTGGTCTTGGCCATGGCGGAGTTTGGAGTCTGACTGTTTGAGGCTGTGGACAGGTGTCTTTTATACAGATGATGAGTTCAAACAGGTGCCATTCATACAGGTAACGAGTGGGGGACAGAAAAGCTTCTTACAGAAGACGTTACAGGTCTGTGAGAGCCAGAGATTTTCCTTGTTTGAGGTGACCAAATACTTATTTTCCACCCTAATTTACGAATAAATTCTTTACAAATCCTACCATGTGGATTCATGGATTTTTTTCACATTCTGTCTCTCACAGTTGAAGTGTACCTCTGGTGCAAATTACTGACCTCTGTCATCATTTTAAGTGGGGGAACTTGCACAATCGGTGGCTGACTAAATACTTTTTTGCCCCACTGTATGTTGTATCATAAGACACAGTGATAAAGTTATTTCACTAACTCATCAACACAAGACATTTTGTAAAGGGTAAACCCAGCCATGCTAGGGTTTAGCGTACTGAATCAAAACTAGCTATGTGTTTTGTTTGTTTTTAATTTAAATGCCCACAATTGTACGGAAGTAACAATCATGTTGTATATTATGTGTAATATATTTCCACAAATGTTTGAAGTGCAATCACCAGCTTTTGTGTGTATTATCATGATGTTATTGAAAAGGATAAGATTATGTTTAATTAAGTGTCCTCACACAGACACACACATGCACACACACCTGCTCTTGTCTCCTTCCTGTCTCTCATCTCCTTCTCTGCTCCCCCAAAGACTGAGCGAACTAGTGAGCCCTTCCTTTTACTGAATCAAAAAAATAATGCCGTACATAACAGTTTGACCGGCATGAACTAGTAGTTCCTTTTTAAAGTGATTCTCAAAGACCTTTTAGCCAAGAACTTGGTATATCTTGGTATAGTCAATTGAAGAAACTGGACAAGTGGAGGATAAAAGAAGAGGTCTCTGCCTTAAAAACAAAAACAAACAAAAAAACAAAACAGCAGCAGCAAAAACCTGACACAGGACCTGAGACACCCATCTGACCCTTTAGCTGACCCATCTCCTGTTCACTGAAACACACACACACACACCTCTTCTTGTCTTATTCTTCTCCCACAAACACATTTTCTCCTCTGCTTTCTACCCTTTCTGTGTGGAGTTTTCCTGTACTTGTGTGGGTTTTCTCCACATACTCCAGCTTCCTGCCATGGTTACTGGGCGATTCTAAATTGGCTGCAGGTTTGATTGTGAGTGTGCATCAATAAAGACTAGGGTCAAAATTATAAGAAAGAAAGTCATCAGAGTCCCTCCTGAGACCAGCTTTATGGAGGTAAAGTTGTAGATCAGCAATAATAGGAGTCTGATGACAAGATATGGTATGCAAAGTTGTCAAATATCACAAAGTACATAATTACACTGTAGGTAGCTACTTACAAATTTATATTTTTGTCTTTAATTTTAAAAGAACATTAAGTTTTGCAGCCAACATGGTTCATACTGTTAACCACTAGATAGCATCAGCGTGCCACTAGCTGGCACTGATACTAATACCATAAACAGGACTATACAAAATCTTACGGTGTTCAAAGGTTGAAGGCTAGGTGTGCAGTGCATTCTTAAACACAATTCACTCCCAAGTAATAACAATAATCTCAAGAACTGAAGCAATCAACAAAGAAAATATTTACCCCATCGAATTCTACAGGACTGGAAATCTTTTTACAACCATATCTCCCCATCCAGTGGCCTTGCAGCAGAATGCAAGTTTTTAGACTATTGGCTTAATTTAATCAACCAGGAAGCTAGCTAGCATCCATGTTTGATAGTGTTTATGACTTGGATGTAATATTTTACATGAGAGTGGATGGAGCAAGTGTGCGTGCACCTAGCTGCAGGGAGCAGACTTTATCACTATTCATTACTTTATTGTCTCATAATCGCAATCTTTTATTTATTTTGGGATGATTTATTTGACCTCAAACATACCTTGATGGTAGTTTTTGTTGGTTGTTAATTACTTTTGCACTAATTTAAATATTTTAACCTAAACACTGCTGAAGTAGCTGAATGCGTTGGGGTTTTTTTTAAAGTCATATTTAAAAAAGAAACCCTCTGCACCATATTTCCTGCCTTTTAATCCAGGATTTTGCAGAATAACATTCTCGTCTGGCAAACATCAAATCCTGCAAAGCTTCTGTGTCTCACTGTCGTTTGATATGAATGCCTTTATCATATACGGGGGGAAACACATGCAGCTGACTGATAAATTAAGAGAAAGTCCTTAATAAGTGAAGATTCTTCCAGACAATATATGATGGATGAATTTATCGTACAAAAAATGAAAAGCATCTTTTTCACCTCCAAAGGAGACTTCTTTGAAGTAACACATCAAGGCTCTCCATTAGTAACATTAGAACACAAATGTAGAAACCACTTTTTTGTGGGCTCCACTTTTCTATGTGGCCTCAAGTGTATCTTTATGGCTACTGCCATTTTAATTTGGGGGGTAAGGCAAGGGGGGACAATCAAGCTTGGTTAACAAGATCTGTCAGCAGACTGTGCAGGTTCAGTGTACAGGCACAGATACTTGCTAATTAGCTCGACTATTAGAAAAACTAGAATTTCAGTATATAAAACAGACTTCTTGAACAATCTGTTACCAAAATGAACTGCACAGCAAGTCAACTAATTTATCAATATTTCTTACCAGAGCTCCAATTCATTTATATAGCACATTAGAATATGTCTAGGACTGTCTAGCAGCCAATACATGAAACACCTGACTGTTAGCGTTTAAGTCTCTAATAATGCAGGAGATCAATATCCGACCAATATCCTTTCTTTAAAAAAAAAATCAGGCTGTAAATATGTTCATTTCTGCCATAAAAATTAACACGAGTCTTGCTTTTTGAACCAGCCTTATTTGAAGTATTGCAATCTCTTTAGTTCCCTTCATTTTTTTGCTTCAAAGTTTCAGTTTAGTGGGAACATGTTTTGTAAGAATGGTCTCTGCCACATTAGGCTTCCTGACTTGTAAGTCTAAGTCAAGCAACAGTAAATTGTTCTAATGTTCATAATGACCCATCACCAATATAATGTTTTTGAAACAATTATAATGCCATGTAATATATACTTATTTAAAATAAGAGTAAATCTGATTTTTTACTGTAGAAGCCATGGCGTCAGGGTCAAGGCTTCTTCACTGTCAATTGACATTGTCATCTTTCACCAGGTTGTTATCAGCCTCCCCTCCGTAATCATCATGTTTTTAATCACAGTTTTTATATGTAGGCAATGCGTCGTTGCCAGGAACAGCAAGCTGGGTAAGGTTATGGAAGGACACAGTTATAAGTGACTTTAGTCTTAGTTAGCAAAGTGTGACAGCAGAAAACACAAGCTGTCACACTTTGCTGGGCACTGAAACAGAAGCTGGCATATAAAAGGGCCTAGTGATGCCATATAATGCATCATTAGTATTATTATATATGCTACAGCTTTCTCTAACTCAAGGTTTTAAAATGTATTGAATATTTCTATATAGAGCAATTATAGAACATTTTTATTACAGTCAAATTTACAGTATGCTCAGGCTGAACATAAACAACAAAGACAGTCTCATTTCATGTACTTTAGGTTTTGTAATTCCTTTGGCAAAATTATTGGCTGTTTTATATGTTTTATGGTTAGGTGAAAAAGAAGACTCTGTATTCCTGTGAAAAACTTTGTACAGGCCATGGTTCAGTAGCTTGTAGGTCTACCTGTAGCAGCAAAAACTGAAGTAATCATTTTCTGTATGACTATTAGTCTCTTGCATCATTGTGGAGGAATTTTGGGTCTCTCTTCTTTACAACATTGCTTCAGTTCATTGAGGTTTGAGGGCAGTTGTATATGCATTGCTCTTTTAAGGTCCCATCACAGCATTTCAATGGAGATTGAATAGAATTCTTTTCTCTTTCAGCTATTCTGTTGTAGATTTGCTGCTGTGCTTGACATCATTGTCCTGTTGGATTATCCAGTTTCAGCTAAGTTTTAGCTGTCGGGACAGACAGCCTCACATTGTACTCTAGAATCCTTTGGGATACAGAGGGTTCATGGTTGACTCAGTGACTGCGAGGTGGTTAGGTGCTGTTGCTGAAAAACAAAGCCAAGTCATCAACCTTCCTCCTCGTGTTTGACAGTTCGTATGAGGCGTTCGTGCAGATATGCTGTGCTTGTTTTTTTTTTTT